AATGTTAATAATATGTGCAAGAGTTTTCTATTAGCTAAGAGTTTCAATTATCTAAGATAATACTGATGTAGGTACAGACAGCCATTTATAAGACAGTTTATAAGAATTTCAATTATCCAAGATATACTGATGTAGGAACAGACAGCCGTTTATAAGATGTTTATTCATCTTATAAACAAACAACAAAAATTATGGTGGATAAATACAGTACAGTACTTTTTCTTCATGATACTTTCAGTGGTATTTTCTTTTTCTAACTTATTTTATAGAACATAATAAAAATGTGTTACATGACTTTTTTGTGTTAAGAGTGAAACATCCAATCAATAGCAGTAATAAAATTTTGGGAAATCAAAAGCTGTATTCAAATTTTCCACTGGGCAGGTAAAATTAAGTATGCCCCATTAAAAATTCAAGGGTCAATTGTTGTTAGGTTTTATGAAAATTACCCTGCCTAAATCATAGATTTTCAACCAGCTGAAATGACAGTACGATCCTAACAACTTACTTCTCCTCTGTGCCCTGGGGCTTCAGGGTTTTGTGATGAGAAGCAACTCTTAGGACTGAGATACTAAGGATTTAGGATGATTCTCCACAGAGGATTGGGCCAGAAAAAGGGACAGCGGTCTCCGTGTTTGTCCAGGAACGCGGGCCTGACCGGGCCACTTTGGAATAATGAAGAACAGGGGCCCAAACCCTGTTTCTGCAGGGGCGTGGAGAGAGGGACAGATGATAGGGCACTCCCTCTGTGGTTCACTCTGGAAAAACGCTGATCTGGTCTCAGTTCAAGGAGACAGAGACAGAGACCCAGACAGAGGGGAAGGAGCCAGGCGCTCACAGCAGCTGCTCAGGACACAGGTGGCGGTTGGGGGAGGGTCTGCCAGGACTTTGGATTTCCTCTATTCCCCATTCCCAACCGCTCGCCCTAAGCTGCGGGTTTGCCGTGCCAGGGCTGCACTCTGCTCATGCACATCCCTCTGGAAGGAAGAAATGGGAAAGTTATTGATGGCCAGGGTAAGAAAGCTTCTGAGCACAGAGAGCAAAATTTCTTCTTTAATGTCCTGCCAATCAAGCATCAGACTAGCTGATGAGTTTGTCACTGTCACTGTAGGTCGTAAGAAAGAATCATTCGGTCACCTCTTAGTTCTGCAATGTACACTGTAACATCCTCTCAGATTAAGACGTCAAGTGAGTACACATGTTCTATAGAACTTATTTTGGGGTGAGCTTGGGGGCCACACCCAGTAGTGTTTGGGGGACCGTGTGCTACTGGGAATCAAGCAGTGTCAGCCACATGCAAGGCAAGAACCTTAACTCCGGGACTTTCTCTGTGGCCCTGACAGGGCTTCTTCGAAGTAGATGAAGATGTAGACAGAGACAGGCCAGGGGCAGAGCACATGGCTGGGGTTTGATCCCCGTCATCACATAAATACTCAAACTTAGGAACCCTAAACATTCAAAAGGTAGAGTCCAGTCTCAGATGACAGAAAGGACACACCTCACACTCGTGAAAAAAGAAACAAAGGACTGAGCACAGAAAATTGGAGCAAGAGTCTAAATCCAAAGTAATGCTATGAAAATTAAGAATACTTGTTCACTTTAGAGGAGAGTGAGATGTATAGAAAGAAAACAGAATGAAAATAGAATGGTATGGAATCTGAACACTGTTTTGAGAAAATCAGATCTACTTTACAAGCCAGTTATCTCTGAGATCAACAGCCTATCTTAAGTTATGTGATTCCCACTGATCAAGTGGATTAAAAGGAAAAGAGAGCAATTGTGCAGATGTTTCAGGAAACAGAATGGCAGAAATATACCATGGAATCCACATGTAATGCTACACAGGACAAACAAACAAAAGTCTAGTGAATATGAAATGCCACAGCAGGAAAAGAGCATTTGGCCAAGAGGAGCCTGAGGCCCAGGCGACGGTCTCAGCGGGCTCTGAAATGCCAGGGCTGTGGGCTTGGTAAGTGAGCTGTGGAGAAGCGGGCAGGCCACGTTAGGAGCAGGCAGTCAGCCCTGCTGAAGAGGACGGGGATGGGTGACTGTGATGCTGGCAAGATTCAGTCTACGTGAGATAGGAGCAGGTCAACTGAATGACAGGATTACATAAAAAGAGGTGACACAAAGACAACAGAATTAGGGGGCATGGGAGTCAGCTCCGAGCTCTGGGGCACAGGTTCTGCCTTCAGTAGCCCATGGCTTGATGCCCAGCACCTCAAGGTCCCAGCAAGCATCACCGGGCATGGCCAGAAAAACCAAAAAAAACATTTTTTTTTTGAGACAGTGAAATCACAGCACAACTTTTTTGGAGAAACGTGTGATAATGTTTGCAGAAACATTAATTTTTCTTTTAACGTTTAAAGAAAAGATGTGTATATGCAGATACAACAAGTCTACCGATTAATATAAAGCTCAAAGCTGACACCGCATGTGGAACCACTAATAAACGGCACGTCTGTGAGTCTGCCAGGCGGCCTGGCTACTGGGCACAGTGGCCGGGACCATGTCCCAAGAAGCCGAAGAGACAGACACTAGCTCTTTAAGCCAGCAGTCTTAATGACCTGCCCAAGAAATCCTGACAATCTGCTAACAGAACTGCATGCCTCGAAGAGTGAGCACTTTGGATGCATCTATCTACTGCCTCTGACAGAATAAGTAACGGGCAGCGGCGACATCAAGGCAGAGAGAAGCAGCAGAGGCCAGGAGCAACCCATCAGGGGCAGCGTTAGCACCTGGACAAGAAACAGTGACTTTGGCAAAGCAATGAAGGATTCCACAGCTGACAATATTCTATCTTCATGGAACTTATAATTACTGAAAGCCCATAATTACCTATTTAAGAATGTAAATGAGTTGCTCAGGAAAAAGTAAAAAGTCTCACTTGAGACCTTTGGGAAGTTGAAACTGAGTAACAGGTTGAAATGAAAAAAGAGTATAAACAAAAGCAAAGGAAAGAACATAGCTTAAACATTTCTGTAGAATAACTCTGAAACTGAAGAAGAGACTAGATGGTACAATGAAATCGCTTTTTCTTATTTCATAGCTGATTAATAATGAAAACAATGGGGTGATGTGCTGTATTAGGAATTCTTGTTTTTCTTTAACTATTCTTTTAAAGGGCTGGAGCGATAGCACAGCGGTAGGGCGTTTGCCTTGCAAGCGGCCAACATGGCCGACCCGAGTTCAATTCCTCCGCCCCCCTCAGAGAGCCTGGCAAGCTGCCCGTGATGTGTTCGTTCTGCCAAACACAGTAACAATTGTCACAATGGAGACGTTACTGGGCCAGTCGAGCAAATCGATGAACAACGGGAGGACAGTGACCGTGACAGTGATTCTTTTAAAGGAAGGTAACCATTCTAAATAATGATCACATCAAAGTTACATGGGGCTAGAAAGATCGTACAGCGGGTAGGGTGTTTGTCTTGTACGCAGCTGACCTGGGTTGGATCCCGGCATCCCTGTATGGTCCCCTGAGCATCGCCAGGAGTGATTCCTGAGTGCAGAGCCAGGAGGAGTCCCTGAGCATCGCCAGGGGTGGCCCAAAGACCAAAACAAAACAAAACGAAACAAAACAAAAACCCCCAAAACCCGACGACAGCAACCACATGGTCCCCGGAGTCTCATGAGAAATGATCCCTGAGCTTGTGTAAGGCAGGTCCCAAAAACTGAAAAGAAAAAAAAATGTAAAAAGTAAAGAAATCTTCAAAATCTGAGAAAGCTTGTCAAACGCTGTGAACCTTCAAACTGTTTTTTGAATGTAAGAATGTCAGCTTAATTAAAAATTCATTAGCTATGTGCATTTTTCTGTATGTAAATTACAGGCCAATTAAAGTTAAACAAACAACCCTCATTAGTTAAAATATAAATGAAATCGTTCATCCAAATAAATGCCCCCAAAAATAATGTTTTGGCAGGGAGTTAGGAAGACAAAGACAATCCCGATGCTACTGAGATGCTCACTTCACAAGCTCCAAGGAATGCTGCTGGTAGTTCAGTCTGCCCAGGTCACAGGGACTCTACCTCTAGGTGACATCCGCCAGAAAGAAGTGACTTGAAAAGCAAAAATCCCACCAGAAAATGACCTTGTTCCTCAATGCCGGAAAATGTGAGCTAAGCTGTGGATTCGCCTGCGGTGATGACCCTCCCCAGGCCGGTGCTCACAGTGAGTGTCCACAGGCCCTCTGAGCGTCCCAGCCCACAGCACACGCCTTCAAAAGCAGGCGCTCAACCCATTTGCAAGTCCATGAACCCCGTGGGGTTTGTTTCGCCCAGTTCCCTAGGGACCTGACTGCTCCGGCATGAATGAAGGCCACACCCCTCCCCAGCCAATCCCACTACTAAGACGAAGGCCTCTGGAGACATCTGTGCTGGACACAAACGCGGCATGAGAAAACTCTAGCTGAGCTGCAGACCATACCGGCACCGTTCAAACAATCCTCATGGAAACAAAGATTTCTAGGCTTTATCACTGAATTTGCTCGAGCGGGCCCAGACAGCGGTAGGGCGTTCGCCTTACAAGCGGCCAACATGGCCGCCCCGAGTTCGATTCCTCCGCCCCTCTCTGAGAGCCCGGCAAGCTACCGAGAGTATTCGATATGCCAGACACAGTAACAACAAAGTCTCCAATGGAGACGTTACTGGGCCCGCTCGAGCAAATCGACGATCAACGGGAGGGCCTTTACCTTTACCTTACCTTTATCACTGAATTGATCCGTTTTCTCTTCCAATGCTGCATATTTGGGAATGTGTGTGTGTGTGTGTGTGTGTGTGTGTGTGTGTGTGTGTGTGTGTGTGTCTGCATGTGAGTGCGTGGGGCGGGGGTTGGGCGCTAAACTTCCCGTCTGGCAACCCAGTTCCTTAAGGGCCTGTGAACACCACCTGGGCTATACTGGTGTGGCCTGAAACTCCCTCTTTACCCATCACACTGACGTCAGAAGGAAAAAATGAGCTACTGTTTAGTGATGGTGATCTTCTTAGTCCAGGTAAATGCTTACCTCTTTGACGCTATGTGTCACTGCCCATATTAGGAAAACTCTTGACATCACCTGGAATGAAGTCAGGACGACAGAAGATGGAACGATTCCTGAAAGAAATGTTAGGGCAGGTAAATATAGGAACCACACTAAGTTTTGACAGGTGAAAAATTTTCTGAAACATTCCAATTCAAACCAAGATATCTGTACTACCTATGTATTTAATACTGAAATCCTTCCCCCTTAAAACAACACTATTAAGATTAATATGAATAAAGATTTATAACAAATCACATATACCTAGGTATCCTCTTCAAGTTTTTTTAAAAAAAAAAATCACCAAACAAATGCAATGTATCTTAGAGTCATCATGTAGACAGAACAAATGAGACTACTGCTTAACCTTCAGATTCACTCAAGAGTATGGTTTCAGAAAAGAGCAGGCAGTTGTGAAAGGTCTAAATCAACCATATTTGCATCAAATCAAAGTTGGGAGCTGCTGAACATCAGCTCTTCTGTAGCATCTAATGGTTAAGCAGGTAAGGCTGAAGTTCACTGCATTTCCTTAGAGGCTGCTTCTTTCCACCTGCCCACAGCACTGAGCATGGTGCACTGCTCACAGTACCCAGCATTCCCCCGGTGTCCCCAGTCTCTAACACTGCGATTTTTTTTATTATTCTACATAATTATCAACTTCTGTAAGTTAACATTTCTCTGCCCTCTCTTCAATTTCTGCAACCGCAGCTGCTATTTCGAGAGAAGCCACCACCATTACATAAATTCCCTGCCTTCTTTGACTTAGTAATCCATTATCTGTAAACAACATCTTCTTTTTGTAACTTACACTAGACAACTCTTGTGTTAAGTTAAACACAGATCTAATGTTTCTAGTGAAGAAAACATAGATGTAAAACATTGTAGTTTATGAGTTATTTCACTAAAAGTATAAGAAAAAATGAGCTGAGCTGTTCCAAATTAAAAACTTATTTGCTTGAAAGGATACCATCAACTAAGTGAGAGGAAAAAAAGCCCCTAAAGATGGGAGCAAACACTTTCAAAGAAAACATAATACAGGACTCAAATAATAAGGCACACAACAAAAGACTGATTCTATAAATACATTCACATAATAAAAATATTCACATATGTTCAAAATATATTATGTATAATAATAAAATATATTAAAATATTATGTATATACAATCGTTAGATATAATTTTGTACCAAACATTTTTGTAGAATTTTTAAATACTAAATTATTCTTAATATATATTTTTTGTGGGACCGGAGCAATATGACAGCAAGTGGGGCTTTTGCTTTGCACACAGCTGACCCGGGTTCAACCCCTCGCATCCCATATGGCCCCCTGAGCCTGGCCAGGAGTGATCCTTGAGTGCAGAGCACAGAGTAACTCCTGAGCACTGCCAGATGTGCTCCCCCCAAACTTGGAGTATTTTTGTAAATAACACGCACAATTCATTTTAAAATGCCAAAATATATAAATAAAATCAATAATCAAATGTGACCTTTTTTTTAAACAGGCAAAGGCTTTTTAAAAGACATTTCTCCAACGAAAACATGCTCAATACGAAACACGCTCAGCGAAAAAGTGCTCAATATTCAAGGAATGTACATCAAAACCCTGATAAGCAGCCAGGGCGATAGCAGACCGGGTAGTGTGCTTTACTCTGCGAGTTCCATCATCCACAAGCCACATAACCCCGGGGCTCAGTGCAGAAGGAAGGCCTGGGCACTGCTGGGTGTGGCCCCAAACCCAAACCAAGCCACCAAAACCAAGAGCAACCTCGCTAAGATCTCCTTCACACTGCATCGCTTCATACTGAAGAGGCAGACAATCACCACTGTAGAGGAAGAACTGGACCAGACTCACTGCTGATATGAAATAGTGCGGCGGCTACTCCAGGAACGTCCGCCTGGGTCTCAAAATTAACGAGAATCACCTTGCATATAAACAAAAGCACATAAACCAAACAGGCCCACAGAGGCGTCCGCATCAGCCGGAAGTGAGAGAAATGAAAATACCCATCGGCAGACACTGAGTGGACGGAATGTGGCCCTGTCACGGTGGAAGAGCAGGAGTGACAGTGAGCGTGAGAGTCCCACAGCCGCACCCCTGCCAGGTCCACGCCCTGCCTCGCGGCCTCCCGCCTCAGCCCCAGGAGAGGGCTGGCGGACCGGGGGCCACTGGAGACACCTCCAAATCCCACACCCAGACAGCAGCAGCGCAGCGGATGAGAAGGGAAAGAAACCACTCAGCCTGACAGACAACGGTAACGCGGAGCTCACCGACGCAGCCAGCAGCTCAGGTGATCTTCAGACGGCGGCTCCGATAGGCCCCACGTGAGATATGATGACTTTCCACTTTCTACAAATTTCCTTTTACTGAACTGTTTTTTCGCCATAATTCTGTTCACCATTTTGTTGTAACAAGCAATGTAAAATGAATTATTTTGTGCCTGCCAAGGGGGCGGGCTGGGGGGGAAAGTGGGAAGCCTGGGGCAGAGGCGGAGGGAAGGTCACACGGGTGGTGGGGGTGGGGCTGGAACGCTGAATGCCTGAAACAACTACATTATGAACAACTTTTTATAAACAACTCTATTTCAATTAAGAGTTGTTTTTTGTTTTGTTTTGTTTTTTATTTGTTCTTTGGGTCACACCTGGCGATGCACAGGCGTCCATATGCGATGCTGGGAATTGAACCCGTGTTGGCCATGTGCAATGCAAACGCCCTACCCACTGTGTTAATGCTCCAGCCCCTCAATTAAGTTTTTAAAAAATGAAAAAATAAAAAAAGTTACTAATAGTAAACAAATACGTGCTACAATCTTAAAATATGATGCTAAGAAGTCAGTGAAAAAAGTATGGACGATTTAATTTATATATATACATATATATGTACATACACAGTTAATATATATGTACATACATACACATGCATATATCTATATCTATCTATGAAATATACCCCCCATCCAGATTTTGGCCTTACTCCTGGCTCTGCACTCAGGAATCACTCCTGGAGGTGCTCCAGGGACCAGATGGATGCCAGGGATCGAACCCGGGCTGGCCGTGTACAAGGTAAGTGCCCTCCCTGCTGTACCATGTCTCAGGCCCTGATTTCATTTACATTAAAGTATCAGAACAGGCAAAACTACTGAGACAGAAAGTAGAACAGGGGGTTCTTGTGAAGGTTAGGAGTGAAGCAGGGAGTGACTGCTAATGGGTATGAGGCCTCTTTTTAGGGCAATGAAAATCATTTTGAAATTGACGATGGCGACAGTTGAAAATCCTGTAAATGGAGAATGCTACACTTATAAGTGGAAATATTAATTGTGCACGTGTCATGTTAAATAAAATGTTAATTGTAGGTGAACAAAGCTGTCATACAAATAAACATAGAAATAAAGCACAAAATCTAGTGACATAATATGTCATACTGCTTAGAAGCCACTTGATGAGTCAGCGCTCACTTAATGTGTTTAGTCAAATCACACTTCAAAAAGAAAATCCAAAGACGACCAGTGATCAGAGCACTCGCTGCTTATTAACCATCAGACCAACCTTCCGTTTTCCAATTCAAAGATCAGCTCATCACATAAAATCGCTTCCTTCCATTCTGCTCTTTCCTCTTTTGCCAGGGATAGGGGACTAATGGTTTGTGCAGTGCTTAACACTGCTGCAGTAATTAGGAGGTGAGCAGCAGATCCAGGGTCAACTTCAAGAATCGACTTGTTCTCAGCAAAAATCAGGCTCTTGGAAAACGGACTCATCCTAATCAAGTGATAAGAGATTTACTAATAGCCAAAACGTCAATTTATTTACTTCTACCAGAGGTTCAACTTTAAAGATAACTGACTTGTGTTATTGTGATATACTACAAGCCATCATTTAGGACTAGTATTTTCTGATCTGAAAAGCAGAATATTTAGTGAGCATGACTTGAGGCAGAGGAACCGGTGGGGAAGTGTGCGTGTGTGTGTGTGTGGGGGGGGGAGGGCAGGATGCAGCTTGGCAGAACTTGCTTTATGCAGAATCAGAGGGATGAAGGGGTGAAATCCCTGTTCTGAGTCTCGTCACACACACAGACACAGATACACAGATACACACACAGACACACACAAGATCCACAACAGCCAAAGCAGAGGACAATGAAGCAACACCACAAAGGCTTGAGGGAAAGATGGTGTATTCTCAAGGGCTACACTCAGCCAGGAAGTTGTTCTCAGGCAAGAGGTCATCACAGTCATCACAGTCCTCCCGTTGTTCATCGATTTGCTCGAGCGGGCCCAGTAATGTCTCCATCTTGAGACTTGTTGTTACTGTGTTTGGCATATCGAATACATCACGGGTAGCTTGCCAGGCAAGAGGTAGGCACTTTTAAATAGGATACAGTCTGTGACTGGAGTGATAGCACAGCGGGTAGGGCGTTTGCCTTGCACACGGCCAACCCGGGTTCGATTCCCAGCATCCCATATGGTCCCCTGAGCACTGCCAGGAGTAATACCTGAGTGCATGAACCAGGAGTAACCCCTGTGCATCGCTGGGTGTGACCGCCCCCCCCCCCAAAAAAAAGTAAACAGGATATAGTCTGGAATAGAAGCTTTAAGAGATCAACCTCAGGAATAGAAATCTGGCCAAATAAAAAACAGAGCAGAACAGAGAACTCAGAATAAACTGTAGTAAGAAGGTCCAGTAAGCGGCAATGAATTCATTCAGATACAGCACTAACCTCAGACAACTATGGGAATGACAGGGAGAACACAATGTAAATTATAAACTTAAAAATTTGTAATTTACAAATCTTCCAAATTATAATAATAAAAGAGTAAAATGATTTTAAAACTGGATTGAGTCAAGAAGAGTCAGTAAAAGTGGTACAATACCAATTTTCTTAATACAACTAAGGGATGTTGCTTTTTTTATTGCGTGGGGAGGGGCTTGGGGGCCACACTAGCGATACTCAGGGGTTACTCCTGGTTCTACCATCAGAAATGACTCCCTAGAGCGCAGGAGGGACCACATGGGATCCTGGGGATCAATCCTGGGTCAGCAGTGTAAAAGGCAAACGCCCTACCCACTGAACAATAAT